TTATTTATATTTTAATTTCATGCAAACACGTTCGATTCATCAAATTTCATTTTATTATTATTATTATTATTATTATTACAGTAATTCGTTTGTGTGTTCGTTGATCAAATAAATTCTTTTTCTTCAATTAGAATATTCTCGTTAGATTTTTAAAAGAGATAACTCGAGAGGTTTCTCTTGAATCAGGTCTCGATGCCAATAAAAATTCATTACTCGTCGGGGTCTTAATTCCTGCTAGATGGAAACAAAATAGATCAAAAATAAAAATATTAAAAAATACAAAAAATAAACGCCCGCGAAACGAAAGAAAGGGGGGGGGGAGGGAGAAAAAAATAAAAAAATAAAAAATTCGTAACAGATCGATATCTCGTTCTCGTTCGTATATGCAAATGCAGCAAATGTGTAATCCTCGTTGTTGGAAGTCGTAGATAACTCTTGATCTTAACTCTTTATAGTCATGTAACTTTAAAATCACACGCTTATATAAATACATTTCTATTCCAAACTATTTTATTTTATTTTATTTTATTTTATTTCTATACAATTATTTTTGTTAAAATACAATTACAATGTAATATTTTGTAATTATTTATATTTGTTTATTTAAATTAATTTTTACATATAAAAATAATATAATATTTTCTTTTTTTTTGTAGTTACTATTATTTAAATTAAATATAACATTAATAATACTAGCAGACTGTGTGTGAAAAGTATCGGGAACGTGTAATCATTGATGTTTAAATTAATTCAGACAGTTTTGTATAATATTCTTGTTCATTTTTCTTTTTAGAGAACATTGAAAATAAAAAAAAAACAAATTGGGTTATACAAAAATTAAAGAAAAATATCTCTTATTGTTTTCTTTTATGTATAATTCGGCTTGAGCATAAGTAGCACGCACGAGACAATAGTCCTCAACTATTATAATCGACTGTCATGTTTTCTAACGAATGAAGAAAGATATACAATACTCGTCTAGTAGATTATTCGTTTTTAGTCAATTTAGTGAATGAACCAGAGCCACGAAATAGAAAGAAAGAAAGAAAGAGAGAGAGAGAGAGAGAGAGAGAGAGAGAGAGAGACTATATTCTCTTTACTATTGAAGTGCTTTACTTCGTGAGCGACGTGATTTATCCTTCTTCCTGGTTCCCTCGAAAAATTATGTCTCCCGTAGATTATTTGCGATGTGGAGCAGCGGGATAGAGCAGCAGTTCTCTTCCTGCAAGTGCATTCGCTCTTGAATTATGGTATTATCAAATGGAGAAAGAGGAACGATCATTTTTATCGTTTTAGTTTTACGGATACTCGATATGAATTTTTTGAAATACGTGTAATCATTTTCTATATTTGTTGTTGTTGTTATTGTTCATCATTTCGATTATATTTATTTTTGTTTTTTTTTTTTTTAAATGAAAACGTCTCAAAAATATAAAAATTTTCTGTGTTATTATAATATAAATATATTTTTATTTTATTCTATCGCGTACATTTTGTAAAATTAAATTTTTCTAATTCACGTACGCATCCTATTATTCTATTTTATCTTACACACACGTTTTTCTTGAGAATATAAAAAGAAATAAAAAAATAGGAGATAGAAAAAGGAATTCGAATAAGTTTATTCCAAAGATATCACATTATCCATTTAAGATGAAGCAAGCTCGTTTCCACGTGAGAAAATATACGATAGTTGTTGTATTTCCCGATCATTCCCTGATCGGGAAAATCACAGTGAGATGATACCGGATTCCCAGAGATTCGAACATAGTTCGTTGCAGCATTGAGATACTCAAGTATTGCGGTAAACGAGACGGTGCTTGAATATCCGACTAGTTGGACAACAATGACGTTATTCGATTGGAATTTCAAAGATCTTAATTAAAGACGGAAGAACAGAAAAAAAAGAAAAAGAAAAAGAAAAGAAGAGAAAAACGAGGAAAAAAATAAATAAATACCGACATGGCGTCGTTATTGCACCACGTTGCAAAATATTAAATGATAGAAAGAGAAAAAGATTTATTTCTCACTTATGTGTAATTACAAAGTTGGTATAGTCATATACCAATGCTTCCTTTCGATTAATCCTTTCTTGGTATCAACCGATTATAACCGTTTCCCCTCTACGTCATTCGTCTCGTTTATTTTATAACTTCGGCATCGATAATTATTTACTTTTCTCACGATTTTTCACCTTCCACATGATACGAATGAACCGTCACAATAGAAAATTAATGTAGAAATCGGATACGCCGTGGTTACATTAATTATCCTATTGTTCTTACAGAAGCAGTAAGAATCCATTCTCATTTAATATGTGGGAAAGGATAACGACAAAAGCGTGTCAAATATTCGAATAACGATTCGCACACCATCCGACTTATGGAAAAGAACAAAATTTATCTTACATTTATATCTTCTCTTATGTATTTTTTTCTTTTTTTTTTTTTTTGTATAATATTAAATATATTCCCGTTGTACGAAAATTTTTCTTTGAGATAATTTATAATTAATATATATATATATGTATTACATATAAATAATAAAAAAAAAAAAATTAACATATATAAATAATCACAAAAGAGGAAAACTAATAAACGATTATACGAGATAACAGATAAATATTAATTTGAATGTTCAATTAATACAAATTTAATTTGTTTTAAACGTTGATATATAAATTACCGTAAAAAATTATCTTCGCAATATCTTTGCCGGTGTTAGAGAAATTCGTAATGTATAGTAACACACATTATACGATAGTCTGCAGTATATATTTACTTAAAGAGTAATATACATACGTATGTATATCTCTCTCTCTCTCTATATATATATATATATATATGTACGTTGTTACAGATTTCTAGCAAATTTAGATTGTAGATTAATCCTGTGTTAGATGATATCGATTTACAGATTACACACATGTATATGTGCGTAATTACATTGTGACAAAAATAAGGAAACAACACTAGGAAATGTCAGATACAATTTTTAACGTTAAAGAGAGACTCGTTAGTTAAAATAAAATTTATTTAACGTGACATCATTTCAACTCCGACCCGTACACGTCGGCGATATCGTTGAAAAGATTTACAACAGCGATTATGCGATCGTGACAGAAATAAACCGTGTACCACCTTACCTTAGTACAATTCTGTTTGCATGCGACGCTTTTTCTTTTATTATTTTTGTTTTTTTTTTTTTTTATATATTATATGTATTTTTTTACTGCAACGTTTATATGAAAAAGAACAAATGAGAGTTATAAACGATATCATTTTTAATAATAATACTTGCAAGAGTAATTGACGAAATATTTTATTAAACGCAACATACATTCTTTATTTTTCTAACTTCGAAATACATTATTCATTTATATATAATGTAAGCAACAAGTATTATATCTCTTATTTATGAGACTTGGTAAACGGTTTACATTTGATTTCATTTTAATTTCATTTATTTGTCATGCATTATTATATTATATACGTATAAGTCATTCCTAATGCTAAATTGATTAATTTCACGAAACAAAAATGGGATTAAAGAAAACGAATAAACAATTACAATACATTTTCATTATAACACGATTAAAGAAAAAATGATTATTATTAATTAATAGAATGAATTTCTAACGCTACGAAAAAATACGATTTGAAATTGTCCATTAGTGTTATACAAATTAATGAAAAATACAAATCGATGAAAAATCGTGCTTTTAGATGATAAAATTGTCGAGAGAAAAATGACAAAAATTTAAATCAATTGTTTTACCTTTTTTTGTTTATAAAAATAATATCTATATATTGTATTACGTGATGGAACATTGAAATTTTTTGTTGAACGCGGAACTCAAACCCTCGCCCCCCACAATACAACAACAACAACAACGAGATATAGAGAAAACATCGTTATCTTGGAAAGTTTTGTTCGAGAAAGTACATCTCGATATAATTTGCTCTGAACACTTTGAAGTTTATCGAAGTAGATACGATATTAGTAATGCGGTCTACCATCCCGTGGTACAACACTGAATCCTTCGAGTTACTCCAGGTGGTACGTTTATGTATATACAATGTGGAAAGTTCCGATTACGGACGATAAACGACAGCTCATTTTACTTTTAAGTATTTTCTAACTGCAAACGTGTCTGTGAATATCAAATTTTGTCTCTGTCTCTTTCTTTCTTTTTTTTTTTTTTCGTTTGAAAACAATGAAAAGGATCGAACGATAATTGATGTATATTTAAGAATAAATTTCAAAACAAATTTTAAATTAAACCAATCAAGAGAGTTATAATAGTTGGTAAAAAAAAAAAGAATTTCTTTCGATTTTTTAATTTCTTTTCTGTTTTTTTCGAGGTTTTTTCTTCTTCTTCTAATCGATCGTTCCTTTTTTTATATCCTCGAATAGATTACATCAAAAAGCCATCGACCTCTTATTCTTATTCCGCTTAATCTATTTGAAATCATCGTATTTGCATCATTCATACTTATCATCCACGTCGAATCCGAAAACACGAAATTGCTTTTTCGTTCTTTCTTGCACATATTTACTTATATACATATATATATACGTTAGAAACACGCGTGAATAATATATGTGTATATATGCGTATATAAATATTGTTTATTCTCATAACAAATATCTTACATACATACGTATAGAATATTTTGTGGTAAAAAAATATATACACACATACACATACAATTGGAAATGAATATTTGAGAAACTTCTATACTTGAAAATATAAAAGTATAATTACATATACACGTTCTTAGAATTGTTTAGAATAATATTAAAAAGAAAAAGAAGTATACGACACACACACACACATACACAATAAGAGTCTAGACGACGAACTTGAGTTTCACATAGTTCCCTTTATTTTCCAGCATTGATATCGCGAAGCAGCAGTCGATCGTCGAGAGTACCTAAACAGCAACAGCAACAGCAACAACAACAAGAAGAATAAGAATAAGCAGTAGAAGAAGTAGAAGAAGGAAGAGGAAGGAAGAGGAGAAGGATAGAACCGGTTGAAAAAGACGTTCGAGGTGGAAGAAAGGAAAAGGAGAAGGAAGAGGAGGAGGAGGAGGTGGAGGAGGGGGAGGGAATGGAGGAAGAGGAGTGAAGGGGAAAGAAAGAAGAAGGATCGAAAGGTTGAGCGACCCTGAAAGGGGTAGGAGAAGGTGGACGAAGTGGAGGAGGTGAAGAAGACGAAGAAGAAGAAGAAGAGGAAGAAGGGGGGTAAGGTGAAAGAGGAGAAAGAGGAGGAGATGAGCTCGGTGGGTGACTCGACAAGTGCGGTGCTTGGCTGCTCGACGAAAGGCACCAGATAGCGCCATTAAAATAAGAAAATACGAATAAGAGGAAGAATAGTTGCTGGGACGAGAAGAAACGTGCGATGCCTTGCCGTTGTTCCTCCCAGGAAGAGGGGGAAGAGGAAGAGGAAGAAGAAGAAGAAGAAGAKGGAAAGGATGAGGCCCACAACAGGCCCCGTCGTCGTCGTCGACGAAGAAGACGAAGATCTTACTGCTGTTACTTACTCTTCACTTTTCCTCTCGCATTCCTCCTCTCGTCTCTTCCAATCACTGACGGTTTGCCGTTTCATCCTCTGCCGACTCACAAAGGTGAGTTTTAGTGACTCACGCGTGCTTCTTATTTTTTTTTTAAATCTCTTATTATTATTATTATATTTGTAATTAATTAAATTGTGACTATACGCGCGCGTTTAAGTATATTTTTTTTTTTTTTGATTGGGTGTTTTCTTTTCTTTTTTCTAATGATTAGAAAACAATGAGATTATTGTTAGAAACATTCGAATGTTATTATTCTTTAATCATGCAATTGAAAATAATCGTTGACTTTTTGTTATATATATATTGTGTGTGCTTTTTTTTTATATATAATATTTAATTTATATAGATATATAACGTATCGTAAAATAATCGTACAATAAATCGTTCCTAGAAATAGCAATAAAAAAAAGCTATTATATATATATAATAGCTTTTTTTTATTGCTATTTCTAGGAACGATTTATTGTACGATTATTTTACGATACGTTATATATCTATATAAATTAAATATTATATATAAAAAAAAAGCACACACAATATATATATAACAAAAAGTCAACGATTATTTTCAATTGCATGATTAAAGAATAATAACATTCGAATGTTTCTAACAATAATCTCATTGTTTTCTAATCATTAGAAAAAAGAAAAGAAAACACCCAATCAAAAAAAAAAAAAATATACTTAAACGCGCGCGTATAGTCACAATTTAATTAATTACAAATATAATAATAATAATAAGAGATTTAAAAAAAAAATAAGAAGCACGCGTGAGTCACTAAAACTCACCTTTGTGAGTCGGCAGAGGATGAAACGGCAAACCGTCAGTGATTGGAAGAGACGAGAGGAGGAATGCGAGAGGAAAAGTGAAGAGTAAGTAACAGCAGTAAGATCTTCGTCTTCTTCGTCGACGACGACGACGGGGCCTGTTGTGGGCCTCATCCTTTCCCTCTTCTTCTTCTTCTTCTTCCTCTTCCTCTTCCCCCTCTTCCTGGGAGGAACAACGGCAAGGCATCGCACGTTTCTTCTCGTCCCAGCAACTATTCTTCCTCTTATTCGTATTTTCTTATTTTAATGGCGCTATCTGGTGCCTTTCGTCGAGCAGCCAAGCACCGCACTTGTCGAGTCACCCACCGAGCTCATCTCCTCCTCTTTCTCCTCTTTCACCTTACCCCCCTTCTTCCTCTTCTTCTTCTTCTTCGTCTTCTTCACCTCCTCCACTTCGTCCACCTTCTCCTACCCCTTTCAGGGTCGCTCAACCTTTCGATCCTTCTTCTTTCTTTCCCCTTCACTCCTCTTCCTCCATTCCCTCCCCCTCCTCCACCTCCTCCTCCTCCTCTTCCTTCTCCTTTTCCTTTCTTCCACCTCGAACGTCTTTTTCAACCGGTTCTATCCTTCTCCTCTTCCTTCCTCTTCCTTCTTCTACTTCTTCTACTGCTTATTCTTATTCTTCTTGTTGTTGTTGCTGTTGCTGTTGCTGTTTAGGTACTCTCGACGATCGACTGCTGCTTCGCGATATCAATGCTGGAAAATAAAGGGAACTATGTGAAACTCAAGTTCGTCGTCTAGACTCTTATTGTGTATGTGTGTGTGTGTGTCGTATACTTCTTTTTCTTTTTAATATTATTCTAAACAATTCTAAGAACGTGTATATGTAATTATACTTTTATATTTTCAAGTATAGAAGTTTCTCAAATATTCATTTCCAATTGTATGTGTATGTGTGTATATATTTTTTTACCACAAAATATTCTATACGTATGTATGTAAGATATTTGTTATGAGAATAAACAATATTTATATACGCATATATACACATATATTATTCACGCGTGTTTCTAACGTATATATATATGTATATAAGTAAATATGTGCAAGAAAGAACGAAAAAGCAATTTCGTGTTTTCGGATTCGACGTGGATGATAAGTATGAATGATGCAAATACGATGATTTCAAATAGATTAAGCGGAATAAGAATAAGAGGTCGATGGCTTTTTGATGTAATCTATTCGAGGATATAAAAAAAGGAACGATCGATTAGAAGAAGAAGAAAAAACCTCGAAAAAAACAGAAAAGAAATTAAAAAATCGAAAGAAATTCTTTTTTTTTTTACCAACTATTATAACTCTCTTGATTGGTTTAATTTAAAATTTGTTTTGAAATTTATTCTTAAATATACATCAATTATCGTTCGATCCTTTTCATTGTTTTCAAACGAAAAAAAAAAAAA